CAGATTTTCTGAAGTACAAGACGACGACAGAAAACATCCCCATACAACAGCAGTGAAGGAAATCCCTATTAAAGAGAATGTTCAACATCTGGCTATTCACATCTCTAAACACCGTCTTCTACATTTCCTCCATACAGTCCCACAAGCAAAACACACACGCAACTGTTGGCTTCAGAGAGCTGTGTCCTGCCTGGGTGGAGTTCTCCTATTATTCTCATGTTATTCATCCCTCTTCTTCTTCATGTGTTCATGTGAGGAAATGAATAGTTCATTGGGAAATGTAAACAGCAGCATCTGAAGACACACGCTCTGGTCTAAGAAAGCTGACGGCGGCTTTGACATGACTGATGTTTGACATCAATTCCTCTTTCAAAGTAAACTGGATTAAAACTGTGCTAGTTCTCCAGGTTCTGTTTGCTGCTTTATTATATCTATGAGAAGGTTTTTGTTAACTTGTTTTCCTCCGTCCAAACTCGCTATACAACTCTCTGAGTTTCAGGAACAGGCTCGTTTAGCATGGGAATAATGTTTTGCTCACAATGTCTCTCCACACAAAGTGAAGCTGTGGAACAGCAAGAGCATCTGAGTAAAGAACAGTGAGAGGCTGAATGATCATATGCATTTGTTTATATGACAAAACATGTCTGTTTGACTCAAGAAGGTCTATACTGACCCCAGAGGCAGATGCTGATGAGATCAGGGCCTGGTGTGTGGACTTTGGGGGTTTTATGATGTGGCCACATGTTGATTGGTCAGTCTGAATGTCTCAGTATTTGGGCTCTGGTCACATGGTCAACAAACATACAAAAGGGTGTAAAACTCTGCTCTGCTCTGCTCCTCTCCTGCTCTGCTCCTCTCCTGCTCTGCTCCTCTCCTGCTCTGCTCCTCTCCTGCTCTGCTCCTCTCCTGCGCTGCAGTCTATCCTCTCTGACTCTCCTGCAATCAGGCTAATATCTGGGCCTGCTCTCTGTGTCTCTCTCTCCCTCCTCCTGTGTCTCTCCTTCTAACTCTGGTAACTTTAATTTTACATTTAAGCTGGGTACAATTAATATCATGTGTTTTATCATTGCATATTTCATCATTTTATACAGTATTTTGTAATTAATTCAGTTGTAACCATCAAGAATTCTTGTCATTAAATCATCTCATTTTCAAGTATTTGTGAATTACTTTTGATTTAACGTCAGCATTTAATTGCTCCATATTGCATTACAACACAATCACATAATATCAGCGCTCTCCGGTATGATGTTGCAGAAGAATGGTTTGACTAGAAATGTACAGTTTTTTACCATCATGATGATCACTTTTTAGTCACTCGGCAGAACTGAAGCTCGAACCGCTGTGGTGAAACCCATTCCTACAGAACAAATCCATTTCATATGAGCACTGGCTTGAAAAAGATTCCTTAATGCACAAGGGAACTCCTGCTCATATGGTGATTCCATGCTTGAATATTATTTCCCTGTTATTCATAAAGATTTTCACACTATGACTATAGTCCTGCTCATGTCATGAAAGGCCACTTGTCATTTGAAGTAAATGTTAAAAAAGAAAGTTTTAGTAGAAGACCAATGCATTTACGACCTGCACTCTCAGGAAAATGGTGCAGTGTTGAACTAAAGAAGGTACAAAGCCTTGTCACTGGGCCAGCACCTTTTAATGGAGGAGAAAGAAACACATTTGCACCAGTTTGTGCCTTTAAGGACCAGGGGCCTCATGTATCAACGCTGCGTACACACAAAAACTTTGCGTACGCCAGGTTTAACACTCAGAATCGCTCACGTTTGGATTTACTAACGATGAACTGAACGTGGGAATGTGCGCAGCTCCACGGCAGCTTTCTGGCTGGCGTACGCACATTTTTTGTGTGTGTTGTTTTATTTCCATTGGCGACTCCTAGAGGCAGTTGTGTTAAATTCCTCTCTACAAAGTGTCTGAGCCTTGCAATGGCAGCTGTATGAGACGGGTTCATCTAGCAGGTATATGAGGTTTCCATACCATACAGTTGACCAGCCAAACATTAAAGCACAATTTGCAGCGGTCGCCTGTTTTCCCAATGTAATCTGAGCTATCTACCACACACACATTGCTATAAAGACACTATCTGAAGATGAATTTGCATGCGTGAATCAGAAACATTTTCATTCAATAGATGTGCAAATAAAATATGATGCACAGACTTATTAAAGATTCCTACTTGTCTTTCTCATGATAAATAGTAGGCAAAATCTGATATGTAGCGGGGAAAAAACAAGAAAGAGTTTATCAGACGCTGGATTCGAGCCGAGTTCATGCTCGAACGTGTCAAAAATTGTTGACATGCGTCTTACAAGCTGCGCCACTGAAACTGTTAAAGGTAATGCAACATTTTACAGCTATAAATCACACTATATCTTGTTTAATGCACTCAGTGCGATGTTCAGACCCGACTGTGTTGACCGCATCAGCTAAACTCTCCCACTCTATTTTTTTCTTTTGTTGTTAATTCCGGAGAACAAACTTGCAAATAACACCGCTTTCCTCCGGTCTACCTCTGAAAGCAGCACCTCCAGTTCACATTCTGTTCAAAGTTTCTCTTCTTGCTTGCTTTTGCCGTTGCTTTTTCGTTGGGTTTTGCCATTAGCATACTCATTAGCATATTCATACGGGGGAGGAGGCAAGGAGGGGTTTTGCGCTCGTGCATGTTGCGCTCAGTTTCACGTTCATTCAGATGTACAAGAGAATATGCGTGAGATTCGGCGTACGCAGTGTTTCATACATCTGAATTTTTTTCTGCGTGCGTACGCAATGTTTTAGTATGATTTCCATGCAAGTCTTCGTACATGAGGCCCCTGATTTGTACCACGAGAAACCAAAATGTACCTTTAGTTTTTAAAACCTGCAGATACAATATTGTGCCTTCATCAAAGGTACACATCTGATCCATGAAGGATCCATTCCAGTGACGACACCGTCAAACATGCTCCTTCAAGAGCTGTTTAAAGGCATGTTGCTTTATCTAAAATGCGTCAATTTATTTTCAGTAAATAGAAAACATCAAACACATTTATTAAACGATGTTTCAGTCTACAGAAGCCTTTCTCTCTGTGTAAATGCACACTTTCATTTTACAATAAAGAGTAAAAAATACTTTAACATCAACCAAAAGATCTAATTTCTGCTAAACTTTTCACAGAAATGTTGGAGAAACACATTCTCCATCTCCACTACAACACGTTTATTCTCCAGCTTTCACACAAAACCTCTGTAGTCACTCACAATTTCATTTACTTCATTTTAGAACTGAAACAGAGTTCTGTGATGAGATATGCTCAGTGTTTGATTACTGGAGCTGTACAATAGTCAAATGTCTGCATCAACACTTTGCATTTGCAGGACTTTTGCTCTGCAGAACTCAATAATGAATGTGGATGAGTGTGTTTAAGCGTGTGCGTGTACATGATGATTCATGCTTTAATATGGAAACTAGTCATACATCATGTTGCCTCTTCAGTCATATTGATTTTGATAGATATTGTAATAGAGAAGGAGTTGTCCAACACTGATGAACCTTTATATGAGAACAGTTGTGAGCCTTCATTTCAGTTCTGCTGTTAAAGGTACAGAACAGCATCATAAGAGCTCTTTCTGTACTATATACGGTACAACTTTACAAAGAGACAGAACTATTCCTCAAACAGCATCATTTGCACCACCGTCCACCTTTTTTCTGAGAGTGTATAGCATTTGTTAGAGTCAAAGAGCAGAGTCACTCCGAGCAGAACATTTCTCTACAATTCTCTAATAGACAAAACTGGGGAAAAGCGGAGCTCTGACCTTACAGACTCACAAAAGTCAAAGAATTACACTGCAAGTGTCACAATATCTGCCACACACACACACACACACACACACACACACACACACACACACACACACACACACACACACACACACACACACACACACACACACACACACACACACACACACACACGAAGTCGTCCATCTGGTCATCCTAGCTCAGACTGTGTGTTCTGTAACTGGAGTATGGAGTCTACTGATCATCTTCAGTCAAACGTCCGCATGTTAAAGTGTTTTAGTCTGATTTATTGAGGATTTTACATCAACATGTGATTTAACATTGATTTTTCCATCTGTGATATCATCTTTTCCTTTTCTCATGACAGACAACACCTACAGTTCATTTATTTAATGAGTAAATAGGATATTCACTGAGGCACATTGTCATCATTACCTCATCTGCACAATGTTCTTTGTGACTTAAACTGTTTAACTACAGCTTCACATGACATAATCAAGAAGAGTGAGCACTGAGCGTTTATAAGCACTCTGTACATGCTGGTTCATGTTTATAAGCACTCTGTACATGCTGGTTCATGTTTATAAGCACTCTGTACATGCTGGTTCATGTTTATAAGCATTCTGTACATGCTGGTTCATGTTTATAAACACTCTGTACATGCTGGTTCATGTTTATAAGCACTCTGTACATGCTGGTTCATGTTTATAAGCACTCTGTACATGCTGGTTCATGTTTATAAGCACTCTGTACATGCTGGTTCATGTTTATAAGCACTCTGTACATGCTGGTTCATGTGATCATTTTGCCTCTGTTCCTCTTTTATTATTATTATTATTCTAGTGTTGTTTCTTTATGTATTTTCGTGTTTATTACTGTACTTGATGATTATCCGTGGTCAGGGTTATTAATATAACTGTACTGTTCAAAATAAACAAACAAGCAGTCATCCTTGATGCATTTAAAGAGAAAACTGCAAGCTCTGGGTGTTTACATGCGGTCTGCACCTGTCTGACAGTGTCATGCTGTGTATCAGTGTGACAATTATGTGTGTATTATTGTGTGTTTATGTGTGTTTTCTCTGTGCTGTCTCTGGAATGTTTGTGTGACGGTATTATTGTGAGCATTATGTGTGTGTGTGTGTGTGTGTTGACGTGTGTATCATGCATGTGCGTGTTTTCTCCCTGCGCTGTACCTGGAGTCTGGAAGTTGAGCGACACCATCTGGCATCCGGCGTTCCAGAAGATCTGAGGCATGTAATTGCTGGAGTCCACTCGGCCTCCTTTGGGGTAAATGCGGCTCATCTGCCGCTTGTTGTAGCTGCGCGTCTGCGCTCAGGAAAACACACTCACTCTGGGTTATTTATAACCCAGAACAGCAGGACACACAGCTCAAACACGCGTTTAACCCCGCAGTCAGAGGACCTGAGGGAGAACAGGCTCGCTCTCTGCTGATCTGCTCACGCGCGCACACACATGCACACACGCACAGGCACACACACACACACACACAATCTGCTAACCATCATGTTCATTTTCAGCATCATTACTGACTGGATCATCTACTGAGGTTCATATCATGTCAAAGATCAGGTCATATAGACATGTTTAATGACTGTTATGCAGTTATTGCATCATTTATTAACACCTTCAAAATTACAAGAAGGTCTCTGGTTTGAGTCTCGGCTGGGTCAGTTGGTGTTTCTGTGTGGAGTTTGCATGTTCTCCCCGTGTTGGTGTGGGTTTCCTCCGGGTGCTCCGGTTTCCCCCACAGTCCAAACACATGCGCTATAGGGGAACTGATCAACTACACTGGCCGTAGTGTATGAGTGTGTGCATGGGTGTTTTCCAGTGATGGGTTGCAGCTGGAAGGGCATCCGCTGTGGTAAACATATGCTGGATTAGTTGGTGGTTCATTGCGCTGTGGTGACCCCTGATTAATAAAGGGACTGAGTTGAAGGGAAACTGAATGAGTGAGTGAAAGCTGCCTCAGAGAATGTTTTCTGGTCTTCATCAGTTTCTGCTTTCAAGACGGCACATTCCATCACCCGAGTATATTTAATATGATCATTTCAGCTGGATTAATTTTTAATTTTGATGATGATAATGATGAAGATATTAAATATAAATATGTAAGAAGAAAATATGTGTGGTTACAGGTGTGTTAACAGCACCACCTAGGCCAATGTTGCACAATTACATCTATATTTGGGTCAGATGTGTTATAAAGCATCAAACTAGTGAAAGTGTCACTCATTCATTCATTCACTCATTCATTCACTCATTCATTCATTCATTCATTCATTAAATCATTCACTCATTCTACTATTCTACCAGCAACTATTGTAGCAAATGTTTTACACAGCAGATGCCCTTCCAGCTGCAACCCAGTACTGGGAAACACACCTATACACACACACACACACACACACACTCATACACTACGGCCAGTGTAGTTGATAAGTTCCCCTATAGCGCATGTGTTTGGACTGTGGGGGAAACTTGAGCACCCGGAGGAAACACACACCAACACGGGGAGAACATGCAAACTCCACACAGAAACACCAACTGACCCAGCCGAGACTCAAACCAGCGACCTTCTTGCTGTGAGGGCACAGTGCAGAAACAGAACTGAGTTCAGCAATAGTTTCTGTGCTCCTGTCCAGCTGATGATCAGTGTGTGTGTGTTTGTGTGTGTGTGTGTGTGTGTGTGTGTGTGTGTGTGTGTGTGTGTGTGTGTGTGCTCTGACTGACCCTCCGCCACCTCGAAGCTCTGGAACTTGACGGGCTGGGCGTAGTTCACCATGGCTGACAGATACGGGTGGATGTTCGTCGTCGCTCCTTCATACTTATAGGAGGCGATGAGCTGCTGTTCGGCATCCGCATCTTCAGACGATTCCACACCCTGAACACACACACACGCACGCACACACACACAGGTTTATTATGATTTATTAGTGTCTAATGAATAAAGTGTGTGTTGGTCTGATCTCAGAGCAGTGATAACGCGCTGCACCTTCTTCTTGGACTCGATGTCGGACGCTTCGGACACGTCTGTGGCGTCTGTGATTTCTGTGACCTCTGAGATCTCGGTGGCGTCGTCATCTGTGATCTGAAACACACAAATGATGACAAGACACACACTCGTGAATACACACACTCCTGAACACGCTCCTGAAAACACACACACACACACATACACACACACTCCTGAAAACACACACACACACTCCTGAACACACTCCTGAAAACACACACACACACTCCTTAAACACACACACTCCTGAAAACACAGACTCCTCAACACATTTCTGAAAACACACACACTCTTAAAAAACACAGACTTACACAAACACACACACACACACACACACACACACACCGCCTCACCTTCCTCCTGAAGCTGCTGTCTGGAGCGTCCTGATCCTCCGACACACACTGTAGGAGACCAGCCTTCAGCTCTGAGCTCACCTCCTTACCGTCCAGTGCTGGACACACACACACACACACACACACACACACACACACACACACACACACACACACACACACACACACACACACACACACACACAAAGAAATGATCATCTGTGGAGCTCTACTTGTGTGTCTCAGTATGTGTGTCTTAGCATGTGTGGGCGTGTGTGTCTGTGAGTGTGTGTCTGTGAGTGTGTGTGTGAGTCTGTGAGTGTGTGTGTGTACCGCTGTCCAGATCCTCCTCGTTCTCGTCTTCTCCAGCCGGTATGCTGATCTCTCCAGCCTCCATGTGCTTCTTGAATGACTCCAGCTGCTCTGTAACACACACACACACACACACACACACACTGGTTTAAAAGCTCTATGGAAGATGCTGAAAATACACAAATATATTTGAATCAGGTGTGCGTGTGTGTGTGTACATGTGTGTGTGTGTGTGTGTGTGTGTGTGTACATGTGTGTGGGATAGCGTGTGTGTGTGTGTGTGTGTACATACTCTGCTCCACTTCAGGTTTTAAGCGCTTGTTTTTGATGAGGATTTTCCGTCTGAGGTCGTTGGGTGACGGCAGCTGCTGACCGGCCTCCAGCTGAAACACAAGCAGATCATCAGGTGAGGAACACACACACACACACACACACACACGTTTGGGGAATGGGAGATCACATACCGGGAATCCCTCCAGCGGCTGCTTCAGCAACAGATCGCCAAAGATCTCCTCGCAGTACTTCGCCATCTTATACTGCTGCGGCTTACTGCAACACACACACACACACACACACACACACACACACACACACACACACACAC